ACACACACATACTCTCTCTCTAACACACACACACACACACTATCTATCTTTCAAAGCACACTGAGGATTTTAATTTACTCAACAGCTGTCTTAACATGTGGAGTGTAGATATAGATGGATGGCTCAATTAATTAGACAAATTGAAGCATGACATTGTAAACAAAGCTTTCTTGTTATGCAAACAGGTTGAAACAGCACAGAGTGAAGAGAGGATTCAGAGAAGAGGACAGGGGATACTCGATAGCAGATGATGGTGAGAAAACACAAATACAACAGTAAACCATATTAAGAGAGAAAAAATGACAAGAGCAAGCAATTAGTTAGAGAAAGTAAGAGATGGCAGGATTACAATATTGCCAAGGACAGCACTTGCTTTCCAAATTGAAGACTTCCTGCCATGCTGTCTGCTCCCCACCGCTCTAAATGCACCCCTGCCAAATCTGCTCAAGTGTCAAACACACCAGACTTGTGTCACATATTGTGTTCTCACATCTTCCAGTATCTCAGATATGGTAATGGCTCTAAGGGGCTTGCCAAACAAAATCCCATCTTTAAGCATGGCTGCTTAAACGGCTGTTTTGCACCGTGACAGCAGGAAGAGCAGCGTTCACAATTGAACCGTGCAGCGATACTGAAAAGTGAAGAGTGTTCTCACTGATCACTGCTCTGTTAAAAAAGGACATTTTCAGAGGCTTCAGTTTGTTAGTGAGTGATGCTGTCTGGTAGCGTACGATGGTACGTCTGGTTTCTGGTGCTGATAGCTGCTTGACACACTTCTATAATCTCATGATAATCCAAAGGTCCTCATCAGGCGGGGAAAACATACAAATCTTAAGTGTTTACGATAAAAAGAAAAAACATTACTGAATTAAGCATAAGCACTGAATTTGATCTTATTTTATATTAAAAGGTTCAAGTTATGGTGGAGTACCGTGATCAAATTGACCGTGATCAAATGTCACTCTTTCAATAGTAAAAGAGGCATCACTCTGTCTATACTCTTTATATAAAGTCCATTTTCAATTTCTACTTGTTTCATATCAAACAAGTAGCAGAGTTGTGTTTGCAGTTTAATAAAATATAGGATCATAAGACTTCATAGTGGACTCAGAATTAGGTGTAAGTGCATTTAGTTTATGGTTGTGTGTTTGTGGGTCGTACCTGACCACTCCGGATGTGTTCCTGAGGACGGAGGCAGCGAAGCTCTGGGTGACGCCCACCAGGCTGGTCCCATCCACCTCCACGATCTGGTCGTTCACCTTGATCCTGACACAAAGAAAAACGTTGTCAACAATCTTTAGAGCAAGTGTTACTGTCTTCAATTTAATTTATGTATACATGTAAACTGAAAGATTACATAATGGCTTCTGCATCAAAGTGACTACAAGAGAAACAAGGGCCAGGCCTTTCGTGCGTATTCTCATTATTTTCAACAGTGACAGACTTTCTTGCGGTCTCAGATTTCCACTGGGAAAGCTCCAGATGATTGCCTAACCAAGAGACAGAAGAGATGAGGCTCAAAACAAAGTAGGATGGCTAACAAGGACATGAAGGCCAACTAGCCTTTTGCCCTGAGCCACAGACACAGACAGGGTTTCTGCTCTGGACACGATCAGAGGTCAGGTCAGTGCTCTATATGAAGGGACATTTCCTGATGATCCAGTATTCAGGACAGGAGAATACAGAACAAAAAAATTAGACGTCCTTCAATTTAAAACCTCTTGAAAATCTGCATAAAAGCCAGACCAATAAGGGTTCTGAATAATGTTTTTTACTAATGAATAAAACAAAAACTCGCTCTCATTATCAACATAACAGCCTATTGTTCTCATTCTTAACTGCTTAAAGGCAGAACACATTTATAATTTATTCTAAAACAAAACACTCTGATCTTCACTTTAGAGTTCCTGACATTTAATATTGTTCTTATCGTCCTCTTCATGAAATAAAAGGCTCCTCAACTCAGCATAGCTACTCTGGAGACTGAAAGTGATGTAACTATTTAATGAGTTGTATCCAGGTATTTACCACAGAAATCCCTTAGCATGAACCATAATACAATTGTGTAATACATTGAAACAAGGGCACTACAGAATTTGGTGCAAATGTCTATTAATGCTAGAATCTGAGCACTACTCCCCATCGAGAGCCTCTTAACTCAATTTAGCTTAATTTGAAACAACGATTGAAGGGCTCGTAGGCCGAATATAAAAAAAGGTTACATTTATTAGCAGCATTTATTGTTAAACTGTGGTAATGAAGTGATTCAGAATGACACTTTCATTAAAGTGAGGGACTGGCAATAGACATTAGATTAGTTGAAGGGTGCAGAAGAGGCTGAGATATCATTTGGGTTATTCTCCCAATTTACAGTTTCTTTCTGTAAATTACAAAATTAATTTTGCTGCAAAGTCAAGATCCAAATCAAACAATGTCCTCCGACAGTTGCATCAACCACTGCAGTGACCAGAGCTCCTTTCTCAGCCTGTCACAACATCCAGTCGTTGCAGAGCAGGATTCAATTTGACCGTGATGCCCAAACACATCAAGCAGAGTCGTCATGTGGATGTATGGAGAGACACGTCAGACCGACAGGACGACACAGAGCGAGGTGGTTGTCTGACAGTCAGCAGCTCACACTCTTTCCTCATCTTCTTAGCATCTAACGTCTCAATTTTGCTTTAGGTGACCGAGGCTGAGGGACATACAGCTGCTGCGCGAAGGTACTAGGAAAACATGTAAATTGACAACTAAGGAAGATTCACACAAGTATACCAACACACATACACACCGTCATCTCATAACCCCCATCTCACCCAGGTACATACACACCTAGGGTCATCTGCACCAGACAATACAGTGAGTCACACAGCCAAGCCCATCTATCTGTCTGCCCGTGAGTGTGTCTGCCCCCGTGTGTGTGTGTGTGTGTGTGTGTGTGTGTGTGTGTGTGTGTGTGTGTGTGTGTGTGTGTGTGTGTGTGTGTGTGTGTGTGTGTCAGCGTCAGACAATCCTGGCATGTCAGTGTGTGTGTGTGTGTGTGTGTGTGTGTGTGTGTGTGTGTGTGTGCGTCAGACCATTAAGTCCGACTCAGCAAGAGCAAAAGAGCCCTATAGCTGGAAAGGTTAATGATAAAAGGAAATTACATTCTGTGTGTGTGAGTGACATAGCACTAAGAAGGACAATGACTGTGCACAAGTATCAAGTTATTATTACAGACATCTTCTCTCATGTGTTTATTTTCTAATTTGGTTCTCTGTTATATCATGTTTCAACAATGCATTACACAGACAAAACATTTTGAAAAAAAGTAAAGAGGATTTATTCCATTTCCCACTCTGTTTGCTTAAAGGTCAGCTGCAAATGGGATCAAAGTTGAACTGGCTGAACTGTAAATGGAGTTTTAACAGAAGCTGAATAGTGAACTGCAATGAGAGCAACACTTCAACACCTACAATGGTAGGATATTAGCGTGTGATACGTAGTGTTTCACACATTTTGGACAGTGGCTAATGTCATCATATACATTTAAATGTATCACCGAGTGGATAAAAGAACACAATTATTTTTCAAAGAAAACAGCCCAACTGTACAAAGCACATGTTTGGTCTCATCTAACTATCTAGTGGAAAAACTAATGGCCTGTATTTCATGAAACTGGAAGCGTGGAGCAAACATTTTGGAGTAGATCCAAGACATCAGGTGCATACATTAATTATGTTTCAAACACTGCATATGTGCTGTATTTATGTGTTGTCAGAATAATTGTTCAAATTAGTTTCAAACTAGGAAGAATTCACACAGATGTTTCTGCGCCATTCTATTTTAACAAAAGTCTTTTGACAAGGATTGTTGAGAGTATTGATCCAAGCTGAATATGTGGTTGTGACACATAGAGGGACAAGACACCCAACAAAGATATCCAGCTGAAATCAAACAAGAAACAACACAGATGTATTGTATCGTTTAGTTTACCAGGACACCCCTAAATCTATTTTTTCAAAATGTAATGTCAGTCATCTTTAGAACATTGCTGCTAGCCTGGCTGAAAATGTAGGTAAATCATTTCTCATCTCTTATGATTACGTAAGAGTTTTTACAGCAAAAGCATTGGATATACTGTAAACAACTGAGAACACTTACACTTAAGACTGTGTTTAATTTCATATATTAGAGAAAGGATTACATCTTAAGCTCAAAATCTAATTGAACCTGAGTTTAGCAGTCTTCTGATCTTTTCAACTTTTCTTAGAACAACTTTCTCACTTTGGAACAAGCTGTTTTTTTCCCCTCACTCAATACTCTTCTCCCCTTTTACTCTGCTCCCTACATTTGAACTAATCTCACTGTCATGTGTTGCCGTGGCTGCAACATGAAAGAAAATTAATCCTTGAAGGAAACACACCAACAAAAAACTGCACTAGGGTTCCCAGTGTGTATGCAGAGCTTAGAGTACTAACTGTTCTCATACTGCACAGAATGGACGGGCCTATCACTGTTTGAATCTGTTTACAAGGATACTCAAACCAACCACACACCCACACACACACACACACACACACACACACACACACACACACACACACACACACACACACACACACACACACACACACACACACACACTCTAATAGGTAGAAGCTGGTGGTTTCAGAGGCAGAAAAGCCCAGCTTGCCTGCTGGGAAGCTGTCATCTCCTCCTCTACCGCTGACTGAGTGCTTAGTCTGCACTGTTCACGCTTTATAATGAACAAAAACACACACAGTTTCTCCATGACAACAGCAACACACACACAAACACATCATCTAGGGACATAGATGGAGACACGCCAAATATGGCAGACTTCACAACACTCTGTTCTACAGCCTTTTGCAAACTTACACAGAAAAAAAGAAATATAAGACTCAAATGTAATGTTTTTGCCCCACAATACACACAAATTCCCACATACACAGATTTAGTCCTGTGTGAGAATTCATGGTCCACACTGTGTCTCTCTCAGTGGAGCTAATCCGAACCCCTGCTGCTAAATCTGACAGGGACTGAGTGTGACTGTGTGACTGGGTTTGTGTGTGAGAGTCAGAGAGGGTGGTGGCGGGTACAAAACTGAAACAAAATTGCTGGTTATTAATTACTTTTTCGAATTTGTGTACAATAAGTGATGGGTTCACCTTTGGTAACACACTGAGCATTCATCTATCTAATCTGCTTTAATGTGTCTCCCTACAAATGGCTCAGAAATATGTGTGACATCCAATAGGAAAGCAGATCTCACCTGCTGTCCGTCTCAGCAGCTCCGCCCTCGATGACGGTCTTGACGAAGATGCCCAGTTTCTCCAGGCCTGCGTCAGCGCCGACACCCATCCCGATGATGCTGATCCCCAGACCGTCTTCATCTGAAAAGCATACATCACAGAGTTAGAGTGTGTATGTCTGTGACTCTTTAAAGGTCCCCTATTATACTGTTTTTCATCAATATATTATAGGTCTCAGATATATACAAAACATGTCTCTGAAGTGTTTGGCTCGAAATACTAAACAGATCACCCATTGTAGCATCCCATAATCCCCTCTGTTTCAGCCCTGTCTCAAAAGTTCTGATTCTCTGTCTGTTACTTTAGAGGAAAATAAGGAGCTACTCCCAACTGCCCCTCTGAGAGATATTTGGTTAAAAAACTGCTCTAGGATGAGATTAAGGTAATAAGGTGAGCGGGTGTTACCTTGGTTGGTGATTGGCTATTGGTTAGACAACCCAAAAAAACATTATGACATCATAAAGTGGCCGAAATCTGATCAGCTCATTTCAGACAGGTTTTTATATAAATGGATCAGGACAGAAAGTGAGCAAATCTTTTTGCCTGAAACTTCAGAATCTCTTTACACAGAGGGGACACATGTTGATGTATAAAAGACATGAAAAAGTGGATTTTGCATAATAGGTGACCTTTAAGAGTGATGGGTTAAGGACATCCAATTAGTAACTTTACAATGAACTCAGAACAAACCCATAATGGCTTCTAGTAAACTGATGTGAGGTGGACTATTGGAGGGATAATTGGAAACATGAATGGATTAACACAATCAACTAAACCTTTTATTTATTTATGGAGAAGAGTATTTTACTATAGGCAAGGTGGCCTTTACATTAAAAGGTAATGTTCTGGGTGGGAAATTCCCTTTCCAGTGTAGCATCTCCATCCTGCATTCATTATTCATGAGCTGTTAGGGTTACGTAACAGTGGTTGGATGGTGAAATACTATGAAGTAAAGTCATTCTATTTGAAGTCCTTGGTATTATTACATTTCAACACAGGAAAACCTCAAGAGAAAGAGACAGGGAGGAAGCTCACACTGGGGAGTTACACAGTACACTGCAATATCTCTTAATGCAGTGATGTCGAAATAGAGGAAGTGTCGCCATAAATAAAGCATGAACCCTGTCTGGCCCCTAACTGTGGCAAATATTTGTCCACCATATTATCCACTAAAAGGGAAATTGTACCAAGTGTTCATGGGCACTGATTGACAAAATGTATCTTATCACTGAATAAGTATTCTGTTTTTCACAATTGGTATGTAACAGTTGTAACATACTAATATATTGAATAAACTTGAATCCCTCTTGTCATTAATGGGGCGAAGCCTGCGAGCTAGTTCAGGCAGTCAACTCGAGCACCTATGATACATTAACACGTGACGCACCTCGTCCCTCTGACAACCAACCAAACACATTCTCCTAAACATGCCGCTCTACTTAAGCTGCCAGGTCTTCCTGCCTCGCTATACTGCTGCTGCTGCTGCTGTGTTCATTTGCTATTGCTGCGTTCATATTCCTGCTGCTGCGTTTCATGTTGCTGCTGCTCGCCTGCCCCACCACCACCCCAGCTCCACCCCAGCTTCCACTAATAGGTAGAAGCTGGTGGTTTCAGA